AGAAATCAGGAAAAAAATGCATTCATGATAGCTTAAAAAATACTTAGGGATTTGGGAAGCAGAGGCAGGCAGATCTCTATGAAACTGAGGCTGGCCTGGTCTACATAGTGATTTCCAGGCCAGTTGAGGCTACAGGGAGACCCTGTCTCAAAAAGACCAAAGTAATAATAATAAAATGATAATAATAATACTTAGGGATAATTATAAGCAATGAAGTGAAAGACTTTAATACTGTGACAAAATTAAGACACTAAAAGCTTGAAAGACCGCCCATGCTTATGAATAGGAAAGTGTCAATTTAATAGAACTTGCTTTCTTTCAGTTTAAAACGGTCTCTGGCTTTTTAGTCTGGCACCTGAGCAAGGGGGATATTGATGGTCATGGGTAGGGCCAGGTAGGGGGGGCTCATCTGTCTGCTCTTCCTGCTGGCTCTTCCTGCCAACTTCCTTTGGTATCTTGCATGGCTGTTTGAGCACCAGCCTCTAGCCATACTGCCTCTGACGCTGGGTACTCATGGTGCCTGGACTGGTTTCTACTGTGATTCTTGGTGGAGTGGCTGGTTCTCTGAAACTTAGCATCAAATTTCACACATCTTGGACCAGGCCCCTCAGAAACTATGCTACTTTCTCTCACACTCCAAGGCACGATGTGACCTCTTGCTTCTCAGCTACCTTGTTAGCCTCTGTTGACAGAAAGAGGAAAAGATGAAGAAGGAACAGCATTCAAAGGAGCTACCTTGCTCTTGGATCCTGGATGCACATTGGTCTTCTCAGACAAATATCAGTCCAGTGAGGATATCATTTTAGCTGAAAGTTCTCATCCCTTTCCAGTGTTATACACTAAAATGTGTCCTCTGAAATCCATAAGTTGGCTTAGTTCCCAGTGTAACTATACAGAGAAGAAGTTTCAAGGAGGAGAGAACAAAGTAAGGCAGAGCTCTGAACCTACAGGATTGATGTCACTCTGAGAGGAAGATATATTAGAGCTCCCTCTCTTTCTCTCTCTCTCTCTCTCTCCTTGGCATGGTTTCACACATCTGATTCCCAGAACTTGGAAGGCTGAGATGGGAGGATCAGAAGTTCAAGGCTATCCTCAGCTATATAACAAGTTGGAGGCCAGCCTGGGCTACTTGAGATATTGTTTTAAAAAATATATGGGGCCAGTAAGATGGCTCAGTAAGTAAAGGCACTTGATGCCAAGCCTGATGAGCTGAGTTCCATCCTTGGAATCCACACTAGCAGCTCTCTCTCTCTCTCTCTCTCTCTCTCTCTCTCTCTCTCTCTCAGAAAATGCTGTGTAATGACACAGTGAGAAGGTGGCTCATCATGAGACAGGTAGACCTGTTCTCAGAAGCCAATTTTGACACATGCTGAACTTGGACTTCTAACCTCCAAAATTATGAGAAAACAAGTTCCTATTGTTTAAGATTCCAAGTCTGTGTGTTATTTCAGAAACCTCACCCCGTGAAACCCCTAGTCATGCCCCACAAACCAACTCATGTAAGGCAGCATGTTAGCAGAATCACAGTCCCTTCCTCATTAACCTGTCTCCCTTGGTGTTATGGAGGGAAAAGAACTCTATAAACCCTCTAGCCTCCCTGCCTAATTTGGGGTGCTGGAGAGATGGATCACCAGTTACGAGTGTATACTGCTCTTGCAGAGGACCCAAGTTTAATTCCCAGCACCCATATCAGGAAGCTCACAACCGCCTGTAATTCCATCTCCAGGGGGATCTGATGCCTCTGGGCTCTGTAGGCACCCCCACTCAGGTGCACATACTCACACATAGAAACACACATATACACAATAATTAATTTTTTTAATTTCTTCTTGATTTTTTTTTATGTGTATGACTGTTATGCCTGCATGTATGTGTGCTCATGATGTGTAATACATGTGGAGGACAGATCCTGTTGTGTCACATCCCCCGGAACTGGAGTTAGACAGTTGATGGTTGTTAGCTGCTGTGCAGGTGCTGATACTCAAACCTGAGTTTTCTGTAAGAACAGCCAGTGCTCTTAACCGTTGAGTCATCTTTTCAGCTCCCAATAATTTTCTTTAATCTTTGAAAATTACTAATTTGGGAGGTTCACAGTTCAGCAATAGTTTCCCATTAGCTCTGCTATGTGGAGTTATGAGTTGTCTGAGTTATTTTTTTATGGACTTGGAGGCCACTTTTGTAGAAAACACTGACTCTTCCCAGATATCTGGTGCTGACTGGAACCAGTTGAGAAGTGTTGACACCCATCTTCATATTCTGTTTGTCACTTTTGCCGCCTTAACCTGTGGGTCACATTATATTCAGCTGTGCATGTGGACATGTTGGTCATTTGAGAAATGTTTTGTCCAGAATACATAATATAGGGCTAACTTAGATTTGCCTCATCGGTCCCTCAATACGCCTACAGCCACCAACACCAGCAACATCAGATCATGATAGAGTGAAAAGAGATGGCATCCAAGTCCTTGAATGACCTCTCTGATCAGTCACCGGAAAAACAGGAATATTCCTCCCTTATGAGCTCATCTTTCTCCTTCTTTACTCCCACTCTGGATCTGGACCCCATCAAGCCCTGATTTGTGATCAGAGCCCCCTCTTCTCCATTCTTTGGCCATTAGATACAGCCTTTCTTTATCCCCAACATTCATCTCTTGGATACTGGCTATTCCACGAAACTAGCTTCCAGAGTGGGCCCAGTCTGATATTTTGCTACCACTGCCTGAAAAAACAAAAAAGTCTAGACACCCAAACAAACCCTACTGGAAATCCAAGCAGATAGCTACTGGGCACACTGAGTAGATCTGGCGCCCAGTGTCTCTGTTTCCCCTAGGATTCCTCAGCCTTAATGCCCACTGGAGTAAAAGTCTCATCTTTTTCCCAGCCATTCTCCTCCAAACCATCTTCCCTGCTGTATTCCCCCAGTTGTGTCTCTTGGTTCTTACCGTGCTGTTTCTTTGACCCATGACCCATCTGGGATCCACTGGGATTCTGTGCTGGATAGCTTTAGTGTTAACTTGACACACCTGGGTTGAGGGAGCCTCAGTCGGGGAATTGCCTCTATTGGACTGGCCTGTGGCCATGTCTGAGGGGCATCTCCTTGATGAGTGATGTGGGAGGGCCCAGCCCACTGTGGGTGGTGCCACCCCTGGGCAGGTGGGCCTGTGTTGCATAAGAAAGCAGGCTGAGCAGGGGCCGAGGGAGCAAGCCTGTAAGCAGCGTTCCTCCATGGCCTGTGCTCCAGCTGCTGCCTCCAGGTTCCTGCCCTGAGTTCCTACCTTGGGCTCCCTGATGAACTGCATGCGACCTGGGAGATGTAAGACAAATAAACCCTTTCCTCCCCAAGTTGGTACTGGTCAGAGTGTTTTGTCACAGCAATGAAGAACGAACTAAGACAGATTCCTTCCTTTTTGTTTTAGAGACAGTGTCTCCCTCTGTTGCCCAGGCTAGCCTTGAACTGCTGGATTCAAGCGATTCCCGTCTCCACTTCCTGAACAACTGGGACTACAGGAGCATGCCATGGCATCTGGCTTCTGAGGGCTTCTTTAGGAGGTGGTTGTCATGCCATTTCTTTAACGGGTGTCCCACTACAAGCAACTTCAGATGCAGCCTGTGTAACAGGTTGTCTGGGGTTGGGGAGAACTCGCCGTAAGGAGGGCAGTTGAGTTCCCTCACTATACCCTATCTTAGAGAACACCTGTAAGGAGGAACCAAGAACTTCTTATCCAGGTTGGGCTGGCTCTGAGGAAGGCAGGGTCCAGCAGTGGCCTTCTCTCCTGGGTCCCGCACACCTGCCATCTTCCCCCATTCCTTGGGATTCTATCCCTTGCCTCCAGACCTCACCCCAGCTATTCATTCACCTGGGACTGTAGGGAGGGCTTTGCACAGTGAGGTAATTTATCCTCCTGTGGTTCCAGGAAGTATGCCCTGGGGAATCTGACCAAGAATAATCTTTACCTGAGCTCGTTTGTTTTTTTGTTTTTTGTTTTTTTTTGTCTTTTTGAGACAGAGTCTCCTTGTAGCCCCAGTTGTCCTGGAACTCACTATGTAGGCCAGGCTGGCCTTGAACTCACAAAAATCTGCCTGCCTCTGCCTCCCAAGTGCTGGGAATAAAGGCGTGCATCACCACGCCCGGCCTGAGCTCTTATTTTAAAATATTAAAATTGTGTTAATTTATTGTATGTGTGTGTGTGCCATGGTGTGCATGTGAAGGTCCAAGGGCAACTTACAGGAATTGGTTCTCTTCTTCTACCATGTAGGACCTGGGTCTTAGGCTTGGCAGCAAGCACTGAGACATCTTGCCAGCACTACTTAAGTACATCTTTAGGAAGGCAAACCCTTCTCCAAATGTTGCATTCCTAGGCTACAAGTTGATGAACTTGGCAATTGGCAGTAGGGCTAAAGGGAGGAATAGAACGCATTTAAGGTCTGCATTGGGGATACTTACCAGGTTTGTGGGCACCCTCAGCTCTGGTGTTGCACTGATCTTTATTATTCTTATAAATTTGGGCAACTGCTATTGGCCTTCAGGGACCCCTTTGCCTCACATGAAACATGAAAATGATGACAAAACCATCTCAGAGCTGCTGAGATGATTAAATGTAACCGTGAATGCTAAGGAAGAAAGAACTAAAAACGTTTCGTGGCTAAAATTCTGGTTTTGAGATGGATGTGTTGGTACAGGTCTGTAATTCCAGCACTCAAGAATTGGAAGCAGGATTCAAGTTCAAGCTCTGCCAGGGCTACAAAGCAAGGCTGTTTCAAAACAAAACAAAACCAAAGTCAGACAGACTGACATAGAGACAGACACATATACACATACACTGGTGCACAGTGCACATGATTCTGGCTTTGAGTCTGATTGGTTGAATTCATCAATATCCACATCGCTCTTGGTAATACATCTTGGCCAATATGAACAGAGTTGCCTACTTCATTTCCCCACCCCAACTGGGAACTTTGAAAGTATATTAGCAATTCTCAGGTTCCCTTTTTGCCTGCCCTTGTGATTAGAGGATGTATGTGTGAAAGTGGGGCTCTGGAGAACAGAGGACTACAGTGACTGGCATAAGCCCAGCTCCCAGGCTGTTCCCTGAAGGGCCTCTGTACCCAGCTGTGGGGTTAGGCTGCCAGAGACCTAAAAGTTCTCTTGGGCAGCAAGATCCAGCCTGGCCTCATGGTATGCTTGAGAATTCTTTATTTACTAGAAAAGCAACACAATAAAACAGGCACAGAGACACAACACAGTCTTGCGTCAATGGCAGGATGCCTTCCCTGCCTGATGCTACTTGCTGCTGCTCTTGGGAAGGGGCCGATAGACCCCAACCACCACAGCATGGTCCCTCTCATAGGGCTCCAAAGTCAGCTGCTCCTGAGGCTTCAGGTTCTCCTGCTGCAACTTCCTCACCTCGGAAGCGAAAACAGCCTCAGCGGATGCGGTGGAGTCGATACAGTTGGCCTTGATGGAAATGAGAAAGTGGCCTCCATTGCGCAGAAAGGTGTGGGCGTTCAGAGCCACGATGCGGGACTGGTCCGGCTGGGCCACGTCCGCAAAGATCACGTCCACCATCCCGATGAGCATGCGGTACTTGAGCGGGTGCCGGGCATCTTCCAGGACCGGGATAATGTTGGTGCGCTTCTTGGCCACGTTGACCAGATCGCGGCCAGCGCGGTGGGAGAATTCAACAGCGTAGACCAGGCCGTCGGGCCCAATGATGTCGGAGACGTGCGAGACCGTGGTACCCGAGGCGGCGCCCAGGTACAGCACCTTGGACTTGGGCTTGATGTGGATGTGATCCACCCCGCCCAGGATGGCAGCCGCCAGCTTGGACCGGAAGGGGTTCCACGTGCGGTACTCCAGCTTCTCGCCGTTCTCGATGACCGTGACGCGCTTCTCGCCGTACACTGAGATGCCAGGCACCATGTTCAGCGTGACCAGCGCATCCTCCGCGCCGCGGTAGATGAACACGCCCTCGTGCCGGTGCGGCTCCACCGACACCGCGATGCCCTTCCTGCGCCGGTTCTTGTTCTTGGCCGCGCCGCCGCGCCGCACCCCTCCGCCGCCGCGGTCCCTGCTGTCACTGCCGCCGTGTCCCCGGCCCCGACCGCCGCTGCTGAAGCCTCGTGTGCGCGACCCGAAGCCGCCCTTGGTCCCCGAGCCCGAGTCGCTCCCACCCTTCCAGCCGCCGCGGCCGCCGGCCCCAACGCGCGAGCTGCCCGCGGGCTTCATCCCGGGGCCCGCGAGGCTGGGGACGGTGCCGAGGGCTCTCGGGGCCTGCCGCGGTCGTCCGGGGTTACCGGAGGCCTGAGGACTGGCAGGGGTTACGGACAGCTGGGGAAGCTTGTCCGCGATCGCGCGTGAGTCCAGGTGGGTGTCCTGGCCGGGAACAAACTGGCGGCCTCGGTTGCCTGCGCGATTAGCAGTCCCGGGATGGAGTGGGCCGTGGTCCGGACCAGCTGGACCGCAGCTCGCGCATCCCCAGAACCGCCCTTTGACGCAGTGACTGGCGTGATTGCATCACACCCGTTTGGGCGACCCTACAGCCCCGGAAGCCCCCCTGCTCAACCTGCGCGCAGACGCAGCTTGCTCACTGTAACCCTTTGCCTTCCCCCTCGCCCAACTCTCGATTTCTCCGCGAACTGCTGGACCTCCGGTTGCCGGCATCTCGGTGGCAGGAGGAGCAGAAGCAAGCAGCCGCTCAGTCTTTGTTGTTCCACTTGCTTGCCTTTACCTGATCGAGACTCTGTAAAATGGGACCCGCCTCAAAGGTTGGTTCTGTAGCTCCGCATCCACGTACCAGCACATTCTTGGTGCTCTATAAGCTTGGCTTTGTTGTTTGGATTTTTTAGATATCTTTTGCTTAATCTTATTTTTTAAACCGAGACATACTTTACATGCAGTAAAATGCATTAACTTTTGCCTTCTTTAATGAAAGCATTGCTCTCAGACCCTCTGCCTTCTTAGATGGTGTGGCGCTCCCAATTGGTAAGATGTTTTGACAAGACAGTTAAACAACATACCTATATTCTGACCCAGTTATTTTCTTTTTGAAAACTTTATCCTAAAGAGATGAGTCTTGCGGACTGGAAAGATGGCTCAGTGGTTAAGAGAACCTGCTGCTCTTGGAGAAGACTTGGATTTGGTTCCCGGAGCCCACATCCTGGGGCTTACAACCACCTGAAACTCCAACTGCAGGGCTCTGACCCCCTCCTTCTGGCTTTGCGGCCCCGGCACATATGGAGTGCTTATACAGACACTCGGGCACACACATACACATATACAGTAAAACAAACAAATAATTTTAAAAAGCAGATGATTCTTGCAAAATAGTGTGGCAATCAGCTCTACAGAGTGAAGGTGGTGATGGTGACGGTTGTGATAGTTATGGCTTTGGAAGCCGTGGAGACCATGTGGAGGGGACCAATCCAAGAGATAACTAGGAGAGAGAATTCATAGGTCTTTCTGATACAGTGCATATGGGAACTCAGAAAGAGAAGCATTTCTGATTATTATTAATACTGCGGTTGTGCTGGACGTCTAACCCAGGGCCTTTCTTTGTGTTAGACAAGTGCTCTGCCACTGAGTTACATGTCCAACCTATGGAAAATGTAAATCCAGAATTTTCCAAAGCACCACACCTCCCTCTCTGCCTACAGGCTTCAACCTGAAGCTTCAGTTGCCCTCTGCTTAGCTCTGCTTGAGTCCATCAACTGGGCTAAATCTCAGAACCTGTTCAGTAAGAAGGTGATGTTTCAGTGTGACTTGGGTACACTGGCCTGCAACCTAAATCAGTATGAAACAAAGTGGCATGTTTATCCTTGAATTTTAGTCTTTTCTTCAAAACCCATTCTTTCAAATAAATCTTGAGCATGAAGAAAAGAAACAGTGGGCAGCACCAAGGACAAAAACCAAGGTGCTGAAGGGAGACTTTAGTGCTCAGTCAGCACCAGGGACAGCGACAGCAAGTCAGGCCGTTTTGACAGCTGGTGGTAGTTTAGGGGTCTATCCAAGAGCTGGACTGTGGTGTAGGTAATGTAGGCATCTTGCTGGCTTTCCTACGAGTGGAATTAAGAGCCACGCCTGGTTTAGAGAGATGAAGTGCACCTGAGGGCCATGACGCGTGCCAGGAGAGGATACCGAATGTTCCAGACACATGGTAAAACTTTTCTTCCATCCAGTCCTCAGCTCTTCCCATCACACATTCACAGACACCAATGCCAGACGTGGTTTTCCCTGAGGACTAAAAGGCCTCCTTAACGGGGTTCATAAGTCTGTGCACTAAGATGCCAAAAAAGGAGGAGGGGATGATGTGTATGGTTCCTGGGATAGATGGTTCACAGGAAATTTTCTCACTACAAATTGAAAAGTGTTCTCTAAAACAATGAGCTGTGTTTTGTGTTTTGTGTTGGGTTTCCCCCAAAATCAGACCTTGGGATCATCAATTTTTGTGTCAACTTGGCCATGAGATGCTCAGATATTAAGTCAAATATTATTTTGGATGTGTGTGTATGTGTGTGTGTGTGTGTGTGTGTAACCCTTTTTGGATGAGATTAACATTTGAATTTGTTGAATAAGGCATATTTTCTTCCATCCTGTGGGTGAGTCTTGTCTAATCAGTTGAAGACCTGAATAAAAGACTGACCCTCCTTAAGGAGGAGTCCAGAAAGGACAGGTTTTCTCTAGATATCTTTCCAGCACTGCTCCCAGCAGCCTTTCAGTTTTATCGTGTTATACTGATTTTCAGTCATCTGCAACAAGTTCTAGAAACACCCTCTGTCAAGATATAAAGCCCAAGGTGACTTTCTCGGGCCTCTTCCTGAGGACTCATTCCTGGTGAGAACAGAACCAGAATGCAAACATCACAACCAGTGCAAACTGGTCCAGTGGCCTTGTTTCTGTGCTGAGCTATCCTCTCCTGTGGCAGTGTTTGATGAGTCCTTCGGAGAGCTTCCCTCTTTCCAGGCTTTGGCTCTGGGTATCCTTTAGCAAAGCCATTTGTTACAGTCTGTATACTGGGATGCTACAACCTGGGAACATCCACCAGTCAGCAAGACCTTCAGTCTAGTTGAGCATGCTCCATTTATCTTATGTATGCTCCCAGAAGGACAGGAACTCAGGCCAGCCAAGTATTGACATTGTTAGACTGAGGTGCCAAAAAAATCCTTCCACTCAAGTTTTATTCTGAAGCAACAAATAGCTTGGGAAACTGCTTCATTCCAAAATGTTTTAAGCAGCAAATCCTTCTGCTCAAGATGTGTCATGCCACCTCCAGTGGAGCCTGCGTGAGGAACTCTCCATGGGTCGAGGCTGAGAAAACTTCAAAGGAAGAATGCCTCCTGGTTAAAAAAGCATGCTCTGTCCTTGGCTGTTCTGCTTTAGTTCTTGTCTTCATTGCTGTCTTTATTCCTGTTCTTTCCTCATAGAGGAACTGCTTTGTACCTACTCAGGTCATTAGGCCCACCTGAAGAGAGACTAGATACAGATGATTTCCTGGGAACTCAGTTGCCCGATATTAGACTTCCTCCAAATGCTCAAACAATAAGTAAAGTAGCTAAGATTAAGCAACTTTGAAGAATTCTAGATAAGTTACAGCAAGAAGAATTATTTGTAAATAATCCCCCTGCTTCAGTCCCTAGAGTTGACTCAAGGAGATCAAAGGGATACTGAAAGAAGATTGCTGCCTACAGTTAAGACAGACTTAGGAATTGCCTACTAGTTAGGGAGAGGTAGGCTATGGCATCCCCTTAAGGGAAAGGAGAGCATATTTAGAATCCCCAAGGCCACTAATGAACCACTTCCTCATACAAGAGTTTATACAAGAAATAATAGATGGATAAATATTCAAGGAAGGAAAGTTTTATGATATTCATTATAGTTTATGGCTAGGTTAGCTAGATCTAGACCACCTTGGTGCCTTTACTACAAGTCAGCAGCAAAGTATATTTGAACAATTATAGGCAGTATAAGAAACATGGATAGAAAGAATAGGAAAATAAGGATTAGAGAAACAAGCCTTTGAAGTTATATGGAGTTATTATAACTTCACTGACCTAGTCATTGGCCTCGGCCACCGAAACCTCAGAAGTAAAATAAAATTGAGAAAACGGAACCATAAAATTACCAACCATGAAATTTATAAGTAGCTGATGTTGCCAAACCACTAAGGGAAAAGGACAAATAGTCTAAGCACCTGATTAATTAGATAAGAACACGCTACACTGTACTGTATTGCTCTGATTTTGAATTGTATTTCTAAGAAAATGATTAACCATGAAATCAACCTGATGCCTGCACAATCTTGCTCTGTAACTTGTATAAAATCTGATGCTCCACTTTAGAAAATTACATTCAGATCATCAACCATCTCTTGTGTTGTGTCTGTCACTCACCGAATCCTTGCCCACTCTCCGATTCCCTGTTCCCGTCGGACTGAGTGCTCCGGTCTGGGCTGGTCCATCGCAAAGATGTTTTTTAACGAGATCATTGGCATTATCTTCACATTTCCCTGGTAGCCAATGACAACTGCAGTCACATATGCTTTATTCACAACTGCACTGTTCTTCTGTGTGACATCCTATAGTGATGGGCATAACTGCATCTATAATTAGGCTTCAGCGGCTAACATGAGGTGCCTGAACCATACCCATAGACTTAAAAAGATGCTTGAAGAACTTTGCTTTTTTTCCTCACACATCCCAGAAAATGTCCCAGGAATGACCAATAAGGATTTAAGTCTAAGAGACTGTATAACCACATCCCACTCTTACTAGTCTAGAAACATTTATACACTGAAAAGCTTTCCTCATCTGTGTTCTATAAGTTCTGGCCCACATCCAGAGGTTCTTGTGGGATCTGACCTAGATTCCCAGGGGCAGGAACAGCCATATTTGCTTAATAGGGACTGGGCTGTGGATTCAGTAGCATGTAACATCAAAATCACAATGGGTTAATGCAACTATGTTTATTTATCTTTCAAATTTGTTTTTATTTTATGTGCATGAGTGCTTTTCCTGCATGTATCTAAGTATACCATGTGCAAGTAGTACCTGCAGAGGCCAGAAAAGAGTGTTGGATCCCCTGTAATTGAAGTTACTGACAATTCTTAGCTTCCATGTGGGTGCTGGGAACCAAACCCCGGTTCTCTGCAAGAGCACCCAGTGCTCTTAACTGATGAATCATCTTTCCTACCCCCTATGTTTATTTCTTGCTAACATTTCATGTCCACTGAA